TGGCATGTAAAGACCATGAGGTTGCACTCGAGACTTTGCCTTATGGCACTCGATACACTTAGCACAAAACCTCTGAACGTCTTTCTTGAGATGGGGCCAAAAGAAGTGTTCTTGTACAATGGCCAGCGTTTTATCTACTCCGAAATGACCAGCAAGTGCGCCTCCATGCGCTTCGCGGAGTATCACATCTCGCATCGACCCTTGCGGGATACATAGACGTTTCTCTCGGAATAGATATCCATCATGGGTATAGAATGGGCCGTAGGTTCCGCGACTACACTCCTCAATGATGGTTCCGAAGTCCGGGTCAGTCACATATTGTTCTTTGAGGACCTCAAATCCAAGCATCCTTGCTTCCATGACTGCCAGCAATGCATAGCGTCGAGACAATGCGTCAGCTACGACGTTGTCCTTTCCCTTTTTGTACTTAATGAGGTAGAGAAATGTCTCGATGAACTCAAGCCACTTAGCGTGTCTGCGCTTGAGCACGGTTTGACCCTTGAGGTGTTTAAGGGTCTCATGATCCGAATGAACGACAAATTCCTTAGCAAGCAGATAGTGCTGCCAGGTCTCAAGTGCTCGTACGAGAGCGTAAAGCTCTTTGTCGTATGTCGGATAATTTAGCGTAGCTCCACTAAGCTTCTCACTAAAGTAGGCCACGGGTCTCTTCTCCTGCATAAGGACGGCTCCAATGCCAATCCCGGAGGCATCGCACTCTATCTCAAAAGTTTTGTCAAAGTTCGGAAGAACTAAGACCGGTGCGGTAGTGAGGCTATCTTTGAGAGCGGAAAAAGCACGCTCTTGAGCCTTGCCCCATTCAAAGACCACGTCTTTCATAGTGACCGCGGTAAGGGGTGCAGTAATACTGCTGAAATCTCGGACAAATCGGCGATAGAAACTAGCAAGGCCGAGAAAGCTCCGCACATGTCCGATAGTAGATGGTGTCGGCCACTCTGAATGGCCTTGATCTTTTCACCGTCAACTCGCAGCCCTTGAGAGCTGACCACAAAGCCTAGAAAGACTAACTCGTCTGTGCAGAACGAGCATTTCTTAAAGTTGGCGTAGAGACTTTCCTTTCGGAGAGTGGTCATTACTTGCTCTAAGTGCAAGATATGGTCTCTTTCACCTCGACTATAGATGAGAATGTCGTCGAAGTAGACCACCACGAACTTTCCAATATAGGCTCTTAGAACCTGGTTCATGAGCCGCATGAAAGTGCTTGGGGCGTTCGTGAGCCCGAATGGCATAACGAGCCACTCATAAAGACCTTGTTTTGTCTTGAAGACGGTTTTCCATTCATCGCCTTCTTTCATCCTAACTTGATGGTAGCCACTCTTAAGGTCGATCTTCGAAAAGATCGTGGCTCCGCTTAGCTCATCGAGCATGTCATCAAGTCGGGGTATGGGATGCCAGTATTTAACCGTGATGTTGTTGATCGCACGGCAATCCACACACATTCTCCAAGTCCCGTCCTTTTTCGGTACCAGTAGTACAGGGACTGCACAGGGACTAAGGCTCTCTCGGATATAACCCTTACTTAGTAGCTCTTGGACTTATTTTTCGAGCTATTTAGTCTCTTCGGGGTTCATCCGGTACGCGGGTCGGTTTGGCAAAGGTGCTCCTGGCACTAGATCGATCTGATGTTCGATCCCGCGTATAGGTGATAGTCCCGCCGGAATTTCATCCGGAAATACATCGCTATAGCGCTCCAGGAGCCGGCTAATAGCGGGACTAAGGGTCGGTGCCTCCGTACGGAGGCTCAATTGGTCCTTGAAAACCAAGAGCAACACCGGCTGTTCTTGGCGAACAACACGCATCACCTGACTAGCTTTAACATAAAAGTTCCCTTTCTTTGGTTCGGGTTCTTTGGCTAGTTTGAGTTGCATCTCGTGAACTTGAGATGGACTTAGAGGTGCGAGCACAATTTTTCGCTTGTCATGTACGAAAGAGTACTGATTGGCTCGACCATCATGTTTCACTTTCCGATCAAATTGCCAAGGCCGTCCTAAAAGAATATGGCCGGCTTGCATAGGGACGATGTCACAGAGAACCTCGTCTCGGTATTTTCCTATACTGAACGGGATTTTGACCCTTTCGGTCACTTTAATCTCTCCGCTGTTATTAAGTCATTGCAGCTTATATGGATGCGGATGTTTCTCAGTGGGTAGGTCTAACTTCTTTACCATGTACGCGCTCGCTACATTCGTGCACGACCCACTATCGACGATCATCCCACAAACTTTTCCGTGTATAGTACAACGGGTGTGGAAGATGGTCTCTCGCTGGGCTGTTTCGTCCGGAGTTACTAACGTGCTAAGTACTCGTCGAGTGACAAGTAACTCGCCGCTGTCCGGGTACTCGATCTCCGCGTCGGAATCGGCAGCCTCGTCCTCGTCTAAGGACTCATATTCCCCTTTGTCTGTAATGATCATTACACGGGAATTCGGACAGTCCTTGGCCATATGGCCTCGCCCGTGACACTTATAGCAAATGATTTCGCGTGTCCGAGTGTCTTTGGTAAGTTCGGGTTGGGGTTTTGGGTTAGAAGTTTCCGGACTCTTTCCTTTGTCCCGGTAACTGGGTATGGTTCGGCTCTCGGGGACCTCTCTCCTAAAAGGTATCGGCTTAGATGGAGTACTAGAGGTTCCTGGCGCATAAGCCTGGGGTTTTCCTACCCTAGAAGACTTACGTCTCTCTTGTTGTTCGATTTGCACGGCTAGGTGCACGAGATCCTGAAGGTCTCGGTACGGATGGCTCTCAGCTTTGCGGCCGATCTCATCCTGCAGTCCATCTACGAACTGGGCCATAACCGTTTCTTCGTCCTCCTCCAGCTCTTGTCGGCTCCTAATACGTTCGAACTCCTCGTAATATTCGTCAACCGATCTAGATCCTTGCGCTAGACGCCTATACCTTCGTTGAAGATCTCTATGGAAATGAGGGGGTACGAAACGCTTTCGCATGAGATTTTTCATCTCACGCCACGTTTCGACCTGAGCGTAATGGCCTCGCCTACGCTCATTAACCTCACGATCCCACCAAGTGAGGGCATTTTCGGCCAATTGGGCGGCAGCATATTGCACCTTCTTACGCTCCGAATAGGAATAACACTCGAAAATGTTATCCATCTGTCGCTCCCAATCGAGATACGCCTCGGGATCTACTTTACCTAGGAAGAGGGGAGGCTTGAGCTTGAGCTCGGTTGATCCGGGATAAGCACGTGGCTGTTCTAGATAAGGATCGTCTAAGTCATCGTTTGCCTCTCGCCTACGGTTGGCCCTAACTCTCGGTCTCGGTTGGGCTCGTCTCCTAGGTGGCTCAACGTAATCGGAACCCTCGGCATCTATCCTATCTCGTTGTCTATAGGCTCTAGGGGATTCGTCGTAATCCGTCCCTTCCTCGGTTAATCTCTCACGGTTCCTAGGGGCTTCATGTCTAGGGTACGGGTCACGGTCTCTTATGTTTTCTACCGCTCTCTCCGGGGTCCTATCTCGCTCTCATCCCCACTATGGATTTCGGGGCTATGTTCTCGGTTTGGTATAGGACAGGCAACGGGTTCTCGGTTATGATGTGCGGTTTCTCGAGCGGGTTGGTTTTGCGGTCGGGATTCTTCTAGTCTAGCTATTTGATCCATCATTTGTTGGAGGGCTCGGAATACCTCGGTGTTACTAGAGGACCCTACGTTCTCACCCTCGTTGGTGGCGTCGTTGGCACTCTTGTTTCGCTCAAATCTAGCACAATGCAAATAACGCGCAAAACACTCAAATGGATCCACAATCAACGTGCAAATGCGGAAATGATAGACGAGTAATCACACAATCACGGGGTTGTCAACGGCCAATCACGCAACATGCAATCTGTACGTATATTCTTACTCACGTGCAGGGGTATACAATCAACGTGCAAAGCAACAATCGATCACGACGTGCAAGTAGATGGACATGCAAACGCGCGAAAGATCGAATCGACGTGTGAGACGGGATAACAGCAAGCAACACGTTTCACACTCAGTGTACAACGGGATGCACCAACCAAACAGACAGCAACCTCGCAATGGGATCGTGCAAGCAAGACGAACAACGAACGTGCGTTTTCAATCAACGGTTTCGCATACAACGCTCACTAGAACAGATTTTTCTTAACGAACGTGCAGATTTCTACCGGGTACATGAGTCACTTGCGGGTACAGATAGTTCGGTTCTAATCACACACAAACGTGCAAGAGTTCCACAATAAGCGTCACGCAATCTGTCCAACACGTCACACAACAATGGATAACAAACCAGATTTTCGGAAGACGAATAGTTCACGAATAGGCACAGATTTCGTGAATCACGAAGCAAACAATCGAGATTGATCAAGGAGGAATCTCACCCGGATAGTAGCTGCGTTTCCGACTGTAGGAACTTGATCTCTCTTCCTCTGCAAACAATGCAACACGAAATCAGATTTCTCGTCGACGTACAAGCCGCAACACGCAGAATTGTTTTCGGGTTACCGATGGGACCGAATCAAATGACAAAACAGAAATTGATAAAGGATAGATCTCACCCGGGGAACGTCCTATGGCTCGAGCAGGCTCTGATACCAAAATGATGTACGCACGGAGCAGGATGGGCAGGAGGTTCAACCGCAATCACCGGCTCACGGTGAGTGGCTCTCGAATTCACGGATGAACGGGGAATAATCGAAGTGGGTTTATGGGGAAACGATTTCGATCACCGGCTCACGGGAGTGGCTCTCGAATTCGGAATCGTTTCAAGGAGATAGAGATGAACGAAGGCTTCCTTGGACAGACCAAGGAGAAGAGTCGGACACACGAGCTCAAGGATGACCGGCGGACACACCGACGACAGCCAACAACGGGGCTGCTAGCCAAACCGGCGAACCACGTGAAGAG